GTAGACTGGTTTACACTAATATCAAAGTTTCTGTGATCACAGTTTATTGTAGTAGAGATACTGAAAAATACACAAGTGAGATATTTTTCATATCTTCACTAGTGAAGATATCGATCACGTGACTTTTGAAGATATCGATCACGTGACAGAACATTACACGGTGGCTTGATGATATATGACTTTTATCTTCTCGTGTTAAAGACAATATTTTACTTACTTGCTGCGCTCGTTCGTAAAATATTGTTTTCACCACTCGAAGATAAAAGTCATATCTTCACGTCGCCGAGTAATATCCTATATATATACATATATATATATATATATATATATATATATATATATATATATATATATATATATATATATATATATATATATATATATATATATATATATATATATAAATTCTGCATAGGAAAATTCTACGTCTGCTAGGATTTGTAAGAAATGTTTGAGGGAACTGATTCAGTGTTTAACACCAAGTCAAACTCTCTTAAGTATTTCTTACAAACCCTTGCCAAAGAAGACATATTTCTTACCATGCAGAAAGGAACCAGGTAGCAGAGCTCTGGCGCGGTCTCCCAGTTCACCAACAAAAGTATTTCCCAAGAGTAAGATGTCAATGGCTTCTTGTTTACTGCCGTCGAAGAAATTATTTCTAATCGTTCTTCTCACTGATACTGCACCATCGTGTAACTTGCTGCCAAACTAAACAAAATTTCACAAATACTGCAATTTGTAAAGTGATTTTACAAGTGTATTAGCTCTTACTGAGGTTAATGTAATGAATAGAAAATCCGAAGACAAGGCCAGACCAAATTAAGAAGTATTGTTGCAAAAACGCCGATGTTAAAACACGTTCTACGATAGGGTTGCATATTCTATTTAGCTCAAATGTAGACAAATCTTACGATTTGTGGAAGAATTTGCAATAAATGTTGAAAATTTTGGAAAAAGCTTGCCAAAAATTGCAAATCTCAAAAACATCTCCGAGGTCGCGTTGCAATATTTTCAAATGTTCGATTCTTTTTACAAGAAATTTTAAACCAACCATTTAGACGAAAAGTCTATTTTAACTGCATTGCAGTATCGAAAAAGTATAAACTTATTTTTTATGAAAATTGTTCCATTTTTTCACCTACGTTGCAGAAACAAAATTTCCTTTTCGAAAAGAAAACATGCATAAACGCCTTTCGTAAGTGCGAGTATACACATTTTTGTGTTCATACGAGTGTTTTTATCGGTGCATGGAACAAAGTCATGTAAACATCCCACCTCAAACTCAATTTTTTAACAATAAAATTATTTTAAAATGTTAAAAACATTAAGTTTGCTGATCTTGAATTATGCTTTATAATTGATTTTCCTACTTAGTTTTTTCAATTAAAAGGGCTGTAATGCGCTTTAAAAAACATCATTCAAAAGGCTAAACTGTGCCTTTAAATATAAACTTTACTTTTCGTGGAGAGTGGCCGCATTAGGTTTGTGTCAGGCTCTATTTGCAAAATATTGTGAAATAGAGCCCGATACTGAGGCTAACAAGCAGGTTAAAAAATTTTTCCCAACATTAAAAAAGGGTCAAAAAAGTTTTCCGGACAAACACCTCTGAAAGGCCCTGCTAAGAAGTAACTCGCAGGCTTGACAAACAGGAAATACGTCCTTGAAAAGTGTCATAAAACATCTTACCCTCGCTCCACCCTCCATTGCTCCAGTTCCGGTATATGTACGACTGACAAGGTTGCCATTATTCGCCCACATCGTCTTAAAACATTCCACGAATCTTGACACCAGTGATGTTTTGTCACCAAGGCCAAGATGCGAGAGTTGGATTGGCAACATCTACAGTGAAAATTTGGTTAATTCACGACAAACCAAAGTACATTGCTCATACAGGATAATTCCACCAGTTCGCACGGAACTGTTCTCTATAATGTAGCACGAGTATAATACTGACAAAATCGTAAAAACTCGTTAAGAGGCAATTTTTTTCAATGTCACGTATTTGCATGAAAACTGTTCAAAACCTAAAATCTTTTTGGCGTTCCTCTCAAAATTACTTTGTTTTAGCTTTATTCTCTAGTTTATAGAGTAGGCTACCTTTTTAAATGCATCTGCCGGTTGAGAAACATAAAATAATAGTTAAAAATTGTCAATTAAAGTACAAATATCAATGATGCTTTAAAATTGACGCCATATTTATAGCCATATAAGCAAAACTTACTGAACTTCAGACATCATTTTCTCTTTGGCGTATCATCTAAAATCTCTTCATTTTGGCATTATTTTACAGATAAAGCACTAAACATACTTTTTAAGTTTGTTTGCCGATTGAGAAACGTATCGAAAAATAAACATTTTGAATTTAGTCATAACCTCAAGCGATATATTATACGCATTAGTTTTGAGCGCGTGTTACGTAGGATACAAAAAAATCTCCTCTTTATCAACAAGCTGCTCTATTTACTGTTAGGAGTACTCCGGATTTTCGGAACACTAATGGAAAGGAACAGAAGACAGTCACATGACTGTTCTGACTACCCCGATTTTCGAGTAGGGGCAGCCAGAACAGAACACGTAACACTGCCCATTTTCACGTGATAGGAAATGTTCTAAACACTGTTCCGGAACACCGTGTGCAGTCCATTTCATATCGTTCCAGAACAGTGTTCCAAATGTTCTAGAACAGTAAAAGGAGCATTGCAAAACCTAAAGGTGAATTTGTAAAAGAAAGTTTCAACTAGAATCTCACCTCTACACCCAGAAATGATTGCACTGCATTGGTTCTATCCAAACAATCTAAACAATTCACCCTCACTGTACCACACTGCTGACTAAAAACGAAATGGTGAAATGTTCAAATACGTCAACCATCTATACATCAAATGTGAGCGTTCTGTACTGTAGGTACAGTATTCTACAATAAGTTACAGTGGTCGGTGTCTACCTAAAAAGATATCTCAAACGTGGTGGTCCAGTGTAGATAGTATTCTACAATAAGCTGCCATGGTTTGTATCTGAACTTTGTAAAAAGATATATCTAAAATGTGGTGGTTCAGTGTAGGTATAGTATTCTACAATAAGCTGTCGTGGTTTGTGTCTGAACTACTTGAGAAAGATATCTCAAACGTGATGGTTCAGTGTAGGTAGTATTCTACAAGAAGCTGCACTGGTTTGTATCTGAACTACTTGAGACAGATATCTCAAATGTGGTGGTCCAGTGTATAGGTCCTATTGTTCTACAATAAGCTGTCGTGGTTTGTGGCTGAACTACGTGAAAAAGATATCTCAAAGTGGTGGTCCAGTGTAGGTACTATACTATACAATAAGCTGCCGTGGTTTGTGTCTGAATTTTGTAAAAAGATATCTCAAACGTGGTGGTTCAGGTATTATTCTACAATAAGCTGCACTAGTTTGTACCTGAACTACTTGAAAAAAGTATCTCAAACGTGGTGGTCCAGTGTAAGTAGTATTCTCGATTAGCACGCCAAATCATGAAAAAATTCCTATAACAATTAGAATAAGTATATAATACGTCAAAAATACCTGACGATGTCGTCTCCTTTTCTCACAAACACTTTAAATTTATCTAAATATGGCTGAGCTTTCTTCTTTAACATTTCCAGTTTGTCTTTCTTGCCTCCCTTGCACAACACGTGATAGTCGAAAAGAATGAGCGGTGTATCGCCACTGTGTGTAGATGTCTTCAGATGATCCTTGATAATCAGGAGAATATGGACGTTAAATTAAACTGCAATATATTCATGAGAAAAACCCAACACAAAGCGGGATTTGAACTCGAATAGCGAATATATTCGACACCCCGCCAATACGAGCTGGTTCTTCTGCTGTCTATCTGCCGCCCCAAAATCGTGGATTCTTTAAAGTGACGTAATCAAGATTTCTATGACAAGTTCTCATACGGCAAGTTTGATTTGCTTGTCCGTATACGAAACTTTGCCAATTTTACTATGACAAGTACACTTGTTCAAAAGCTAGTATGCTATACGGGTCAACAAAGGAAATTTGGCAAAGTAATTTGAGCACTTGCATAGGGTTGGGTCGGTGATCTATTGTTGTGATTATAGCTAATAATACTGTAGCTATAGGGGCGGTCAGAAACCAAAAATTTAATCACAGAAAATTTGAAAATGAATCATACAAATGAAAACTTGTGCTACAAAACTTGCTCATCTGTAACTGGCTTACGAATTGATTGGTGTCTTTACCTGATAAGCTTTGGTCAAGTAAGATTCTCCCTCCTTACTGCCAAGAAGATTAACCAACAGCTGATCACCGTACAGGCCTTTTAATGCAGAAATATGTCTAAAGAGGATTAGAGAATCTAATATACACTCTGTCCAGGTTAATTTAACAAGGCTATATGGTTGAATAAACCAGATTATGTTAGGTGGAGTATTTACCAACAATTCCTGAGTATAATCCACCTAACACAATCTGGTTAATTCAACCATACAGTCTTGGTTACGTCAACCAGGAGTCCTGGTTGAATTAGCCACAATAATGATAATAATAATTATAATAATAAACTTTATTTTGGTGAGGGTAAATATACATTTTTACCTGAAAAGGTATTCTACCAAATGGCCCTCAATAAAATTTAGATGAGCTATTTACAATATATACAAAAAAGTTAAACTAGAAATAACTATATTATTAAGCATACACATTAAATGGGTTTTTTTCCAATTTTTGTGTTAATTTTTGACAGTAAAAAATAAGGGACTTGTCATAAAGTAACTGCTAGGGTGGGCTGGAGGTAAATCACAAATTTTGCCAATAAGTTCGGTGACCCATCTTAGGATGTAGATAAAAATTTCAAAGCCCATCTAATCTTACAAAAAAAATTTCATGACCCAACCAATCTAAATTGGGAAAATACACTTTTATAATAAAAAATACTTGCAGGTATGAACATTGTAAATATACATGGCACTAGTGGTATTGACATACATAATTTCACCAAGTTTGACCAACACATTGATACTGAGCTGCTCTCCAATTGGTTGTATTTGCTGTGATTCGACCACTTCTTGTTGTTGTATAAACAAAGTACTGGCTTCAATAGCATCATTTGCATTTGATAACATTTGTTTACTTTTATTATTAATATCTTTATTTTTTGAAGTAAACATGCATGATGGGTTTTTGTTTGGTGGCCCAACCGTGGACATACAAAAAAATTGGCGGCCCATCGAAACTGCCCAAAGATTTTCCATGGTCCATCCCAAATCACTCCAGCCCACCCTAGCAATTACTTTATGACCGGTCCCTAAGAGGAAATTTATTGCGAGTAACAAATGCACTTAACTAGGTTTTTGCAACAAATACAGGAAAATTGTTCAAGATGGTCAACCTCGTGATCAAATTAACCACAACTGTGGTTAAATTAACCAGGGCATTTTTAACCAGGGTGTTTTTAGAGTGTACTTATTAGGACGAGGTAAAAGATTTATATATTTATTTAGACCTAACGTATAGCCTGCGCGGCAGGCTCAGCCTGCGTGGCAGGCTGCACATAACCAGGAGCAGCCGCGAAATATATATTCCCCCCTCCCAGCACAATATTTTTCCAATGTTTTTGAATGAACGCTAATCAAAAGGTTTTTTTCAAACATACAAACCTTACAATCTTTTGGAAAATGGTTTGACGACTGAGATTTGTAGCAACAAAATTAAGGGTGGTTGTTAAACGTTGGGTAGCCTGCAAAACAGGCACTTTATTTCAAGCGGGCGGCGCTGCTTTGCAGGCTTAACCATGGGTGACATTCCAACTTTATCATAACGTACTTGTATAGACGTTAATTTATGTTTGAAAAAGTCAAAGCTAAATCAGCAAGCTATTAAACTATGTATTACTGCTGACGACTGCGTACAAACTTCTCACCAACACTTACTTCTCAAAACTGGGAGACGACGCTTCAAATCCTCGTGACAGTTTCACTTTGTGAGATCCAACCTGAATGCCAGGCTGCTCCCAAAACACTGGGACCGAGCCTCGGGTTTGGACAAAGGATGCAACACAGTCGTCTAAGACAATCACCTTAAAAACAGCGGCATATGCAAAGTTAGTTGAAGCGTTTTTGTTCATGGAAATTCGACCGGAAGATTATGTACAAATTTAAACCTAACCTGGAGTTATCTGGGACAACTACTATACGCCCTCTGGCAGGAATCGAATATGCGATTCAGGTGCAAAGCACTAACCAACTGAGCTACAGAGGTCAGTTGTCCAGCTCTAACCACAAGTTCTTGTGAATATATTTACAAAGCATTAATGATTCATGAGGGAAAGGCGTCAAAGAAAATCGCCAGCGCGTCGGTGGTTTAAAACGTGATAAAAAAATCCTGTTAATTTACATAAACTTTAGCATTGATTTTCTCGGCTTGGACGTTTATTTTTAGGAAGCGGTCATTATTTATGGCGGAAGTGGCACCGAAGAGAAAGGGTTGAGTGAGAACATTTTGAGTGAATAAAAGTTTGGGTAAATAAAAAACACAGACGTTTTGTGAAAGAGTGCAGGGGTGCTACCCCCAATATATAACCCCCCAAACAAAATGTCCACCCCTCCAAAAAAAATTTCACCCGCCCCCCCAATATTTGGCATAATAAAAAATAATTAAATAGTCCACTCCAACGTGCAGAGTGTTGATGATAATCATGATACAAAATAAACGTAGGAGTACACTCTAATAGAAGAAGACAGTGCAATACTATGAAACTAATCGCTCCTCGCTTGCATTCACTGGTTTATTGGAGCAATTGTAAAGTTTTGAAACTCTATTATCTCCCCTGAATAGAGTTTGCAGTGCCTTGTCATGCAAATAGCTTGCTTGCAAGGAACGTTTGGAATTTTTACGAACATTATTTTTAGTTTTTAATTCTTTTAGGAAATAGACTTGCCTAGATTAAAATCTCTACGCCCCAAATATTATTTACATCGGAGTTGCATCATAAATTGTACTCGGATTCAAACGACACAATGTCAATGACTTTATAAAAGTAAAAGCATATTGTGTATTGGCCTATTGGGTTTACACTTTTACAGGTTCATTTAACTTTAACTCTCTCAAGTCTCAACAGACAATCGGACATGCCAAATCCATTGATATGACAACTTCAAAAAACTTTTTTTCGAAGCTAGAAATCATGATTTTTTCCCACTTTTTCCAGGGATACTTTGTTTTCTGCTCTCTAGACTCCCCCTCACGGCTCTAGTGCTCCACCCCTAGAATATAGGACCTTACTGGGGTTTGGTGACACTTTGTGTTGCTTCAGTCACCTGCTCACGGCTCACCCCCCTAAAATTTCTGGCACCACCCCAGTAAAAAATATGAAAATCCGAATAAAAAACAAAACAACTCATCGGTTGGGTAATAAAAATTTATTGTCATTTTCAAAGGAAGACCCGCTCAGATATTGAAGACTGAAAAGCAATGTCAACAGTCATATGTCAATACAATATGTAAATCAATCACAGTCACTATCTTGATCACTCTTCGATTTGTCAGGAGGGAAATGGTGTCTCCAAAGAAAGTACACGCGCAGACAACATGAAACTTTAAACTGCAGAAAATTGCACAAGCAGTTATCAAACTCATGTGGTAGAGGACATGTGAAAATGTGTTCGACTTTTTCATGATTGGATCAGGAAAAGTTTTATCAATCTTCGATTCTTCGGTGCCACCCCCCACCACAAATAATGACTGATCCCTTAAAATTACTTCGCCAATGAACTCATAAGATGGATCGTTTTTCACTGAGCCATTTAAAACACTCACAGTCCGTACTTTATCAGATGTAAGACACTCGGCTTATCGCCTCGTGATAATTTCCCATTAAATTTTCATCCAAATTTATACAACCAAAATTTAATCAGTTTGCCCTCGGGCAATGTCCACTACTCCCAACAAATTTTCGTATCAATACGCCTGATAGGTTTTGAGTTACCTTGCTAAAAGACAAACGCGCACATACACGCGCGGATGAATGGCAGGGGCGCCGAGAGGGGGAGGGCAAGGAGGGGGAGAAATTGCCCCGGGCCCCACCTTAATGGGGCCCCAACTTGAGAACGAGAGTCTAAAATTGAGTAGGTTCGCGATTCTTTAAATTGGTCAGAGCATTTTTGAAATTGAGGGCCCCCTACAGTAGCTCCACATGCAGTCTAGATAAGGTCTAGTTGGGTGACTGACTTGGGTCTAGATAAAAATAATGATGTCATGGGGCCCCCAGAGAAGATTTGCCTCGGGCCCCGCGAATTCTCTCGGCGGCGGCCCTGATGAATGGTAACAAAATTAATCTTATCTACCTGTTCAGTTTCAACAAAGTTAGCCACGTGGCCGTCATCGTTAACACCTCGGACATTAAATCTCGTACCAGCCCTCTCACAGCTCAATCTTGATATAACCATAGCCTTAGCCTGCCTCGCGCCGGCGTACACTGTCTTTAGTTCAATACCACCACACATGATATTCAGCAACCACACAGAACAGTCGATGTCGAACTTTTGGAGATGTACATGAAGGGCATGGTTCCTAGTAACATAAATAAGCCAGTGAGCAGAGCTCTAAAGTTACGCATAATTCATTTTGGAAACACGTACCCTGACCAGAATATTTATATCTCAAACTCATTTATTATTCATGAGTAAATTAGCCAACCATATTGCTTTATTTTGCTCACAAGATAATACTGGATACCTGGTGAAGTATATTGATCCAGTCCTAGGACTAGATCAAAATTAATTCAGTCCTTGGGCTGGATCAAAATTAATTCACCTCACTATAAGTACATAGTGATTTATAACATGATGTCATTTCAAATCCTCCATTTCGGACTGCTAGGACTGGATCAAAATTAATTCAGTCCTTGGGCTGGATCAAAATTAATTCACCTCACTATAAGTAGTGATTTATACGTATGATGTCATTTTAAATCCTCCAATTCGGACTGGACTAGATTCGGTGCAGTGCTCTAAGGGACCGGTCATTATTTATGGTGGGGGGTGGCACTGAAGAGAAATGTTTTTCTTGGCAAAAATTTTGCTGACCCAACCATTAAAAAGTAAAAAAATTGATTACCCAACCTTAAATATCAATTAAAAAATAAATACCCACCCCCGGCCAAAAACTTTACAAAAAGATACCATTCAGTTGTCACATGTGTCCTTTACCACTTGTGACACGAGTTTGATATTTACAAAAAAAAAGTTAGTTCAATTTTTAGTTTCAACTTTATAAAGACTTAACACAACGTACCAAAAGAATCTATTATCAGGCTCCTTGGCAGAACACTGTCTTTGATGAGTCAAACTCAAATCCAATGGTACTTCGTTCTCCTTCACAGATAAGGTGAAATAAAACGAGCCTGAATTGAGCAGCTTGCGCACTTCAGAAATGCCTACTTCGTCGTGAGCGCCTAACGCGATAAACTCCGTGGACATAACACATGATATCTCGCTGTTTTTTATCTTGCCAACAGAACGACACGCAGTGACTACTACAAGGTATAGGTAGCTGTCATCTGCTCCTAGAGAAAATAGTGTTTTATTATAAATTATAAATGTTTTTTATACATATAGTTGTACCTGATTTTCACCGAATAATAGCAAGGAATCATCTCAAAGGTAAAAAACACAGAGTTTGCATAGCACTATAGTCTGCTTAACGTTACTAATCAAGATTGTTCTAAGTTGTGACCATATATTGTATTTAATGTGCATCTAAAGTATTTCAAAGGATTTCTAAGAATTTTAGATCATGCATCTAATATTTAAATTTGTAAATGTGTAATTTAATTAGGAGGTAGCCTCGCTTGGATTCATTACAACCTGTTTGCTACTTTCCTGTTTGAAAACTGTCCATTGTTATTTGTGTGTGTATTGTAAGTAATCAGTTCCTAATAAAGCTGCTATAAATGTATCTTACTTAAACTTAGTCTGAGCACACCAAGACAGCCATAAGCATCACAGACTTTGTTGTAATCTTTCTTTATTGTCGCTGTTTCCCATGGTGCTAAACAAATATATATTGAATAGGGATGAGCCGATTAATCGTTACGGCCGATATTTGGCGTTTTCAAAATAATCGGCCGATTATTTTTTATAATCGGCTATTTGCCGATATTCGCAATTTTTTCGCATTTTAAGAAAAATAACTCTATAATCTAGTAATCTACACTCCGTCTTGTTTTTGACACTTTTGTTGCGCGTATTTAATCCCATACCATTAATTCATTTGACTCGTACAGTGACCGATAACTGTCCAATATGAGTACATATTTTCCGGCATAGACGGATTTTCTGGGGG